TACTATTAATAAAGTTAATATTGGTAAATTTTATTATTTTTGCCATTGTTATCATTATCGATCATATCATCATTATCATTATCATCATGATTATCATTATCATTATCATCATGATTATCATTATCATCATCATTTTCATTATCATCATGATTATCATTATCATCATGATTATCATTATCATCATGGTTATCATTTTCATCTATGTCATTACCACCATCACCACGCCCTCAAAACTCCCATCTTCTTCCCTCCTATCCTAAACCGCCCAAAATGTCCTCCCAAATCTCCTAACGGCCTTTCCTCCTCCTCCTCCTCCTCCAAGGTACAACCAGGGCGGCAAAGACTCGTGTCAGGGCGATTCTGGGGGTCCCCTGATGATCCAGGACGGCGGGCGCTGGTACCTGGCTGGTATCGTGTCCGCCGGGTACTCGTGCGCCCAGTCCAAGCAGCCAGGTATGGGTATGGAGGGGTGTGGTGGGTGGGTGGGTTGGGGGAGGGTGTGGTGTGGGTGGGTGAGGTGGGAGGGTGTGTGTGTGTTGTGTGGGTGGGGTGGGGGGTTGTGTGTGTGTGTGTGTGTGTGTGTGTGTGTGTGTGTGTGTGTGTGTGTGTGTGTGTGTGTGTGTGTGTGTGTGTGTGTGTGTGTGTGTGTGTGTGTGTGTGTTTGAGGGGTTGCAGGATAACTTTTTTATCTTTATATATATATTTTTCTAAATTGCGGTTTTGGGTTGTGTTAATTTCTATTGAAAATTTGACTTGAATTAGTTCCAACAACGAGTATTCTAAATGTGCTTAGTGTATTGAAAAGGAATTGTTTCTCTCTTCCAATTAATTATTAGTTCAGAATTTTGTGTGTGGAAAATCTGATAGTCTTCTCCAGTAAATATATATCTTACTTTGCTACACATACACTGATAATGTCTTATCAAACGAATTAATCATGCAAATTAAAGTAATTTCTGAGTGCCAATCTTCGTTACTTTTCATAAATATGGCCGGTTATGAATTCCAATATATTCACGTTAGCTTTAATATCGAAGGAGCGAAATAGTAATTATCTTTTCTCTCTACAGGAATATACCACAAAGTATCCTACACGTCTGACTGGATATCCTACGCCGCGAGAAGCTGAGAGATGTAGGATATCCAAAATAGTCCTACTTAACGAGGTCTTCTCCCTGGCTTCCTTGGGTCCTAACCTGGGGACAGTTAGGGGTCTTGTGTATAAAGCTCGCTCACCCCAGTATGTGTTAATCCTTACGTGGCGATACTACTCAAAAAAGAAAGAAAAAAAGAAAAGAATAGAAAAGAAAGAGATTTTTTTGAGTTCATATGGAAAGACTTGTCATTTAAGTTTTTGAAAATTTAGATGGAAGTTTCTGTCATGTATCATTTTTGAGGGAAAATAGTAGCATTATGAAATAAAGAAAACAAAACAAAAAAGAAAAGAAAATCAGTGAATGATCATATGATTATGATGATAGATTAAGGTCAGATAACAATTTTTTGGGTAGTGACGTCACAGATATGAAAACCTTTCAGTCAGGGAGCGTCTTTGTGATGACGTCATCAAGATGGAGCCCACCTTCCCTGTGATACCACCTCATTAATTTAATGTAAAAAAATGGCGTTATTCTGATTAGCGTAGTTTGAAAAAAATCATAATATTATTAGGTATCGAATCCCATTTCTAGGAAAATATCCATCCGGTTTCTTAATTTTTTGAGTGGTCGTGGATTTACAATAAAAAAAAAAAATAAAATAAAACTTGATTCGTTAGATTCTGTTTTTGAGAGAGAATGAAAAAAGTAATATAGTTTATACAATTTTAGATGCAGTATTATGGACGAAACAATGAAAAGCCACACCCTAAATCTGTCAAATCGATGTAGGTTAGGATTTCTCAGCCACCGAACCCGCGACCTGCAACGGACCTACTCAGGGGATTTATCATCTTTTGTCACTTACATTTATAGCTCAGACTTTGGCGTCGATCTTCCTTATGTCTTCTGTTCCATAGAGTGTATTAGCTTGCCAAAGAAGTGAGGAAGATGGTGTTCCAAAAAAGAAAATTCGTTTAAGGAAATCACAGAACAGAATATAAATTGATTTCTAATTTTGTCTTCTGGATTTCTAGTCGGGGAAACCATAGAAAATGGACTGGATTCCAATTTTCTTTTTAAGCAGTAACTATTTTTGTTTTGTTTTGCGTGTTGATTGTGACAGAATCCACGCCGTTGACTTATGGGGCCGCTGGCAGCTCCATTTAATTGTTTTAGTAGATTATTAGCAAGTAACTTATCTATTGCAGTATATAATAAATACACATGATTTTTTTCCTTGTGAAAAAAACAGGTGATGAAAATGATAAAAAAACAACCGTGTCAAAGGTATGTGTTGTATTGTATATTATTATTATTTTTAGGTATGGCAACAGCATACACAATAGCTCACATCTATGTTTACAATGTGTATTGTTTTTAGTGGAAGACTCGCATACATAAACATGGCCGACCGTTATGGCGGGAAATTTACTCGAATTAACCCTCTCTCACATATCGTTATTTAATTTCAATCATTTTCGTCTTTTACTCTCTGGTGAAATAAACAGTTTTTTTTCTATAATATTATTTTTCTCTTCTCAGTCTTTATCACTACGATCTCTGTCAGCTGTTTCTTTATGCAATCTTCCATCTTTTTATTTGGTTTAATCTATGTACTGTTTTGTTTTTGTTGTCTCCGCGGGCTGGTTCCGCAATGTATACTTTATTGTATATGATGTGTATATACAATATATTTTTAATTACTGAAAAGATTTTTTAAAAAACACTTACCTTGTTTTTCTACCCAACATGGCGTTTATGTGAAATATTACTTCTGCATTTTTAGAACATTCTAGATTTCCCATCTAACTTGTGTGTGTGTGTGTGTGTGTGCGTGTGTGTGTGTGTGTGTGTGTGTGTGTGTGTGTGTTTGTGTGTGTGTGTGTGTGGTGTGTGTGTGTGTGTGTGTGTGTGTGTGTGTGTGTGTGTGTGTGTGTGTGTGTGTGTGTGTGTGTGTGTGGTGTGTGTGTGTGTGTGTGTGTGTGTGTGTGTGTGTGTGTGTGTGTGTGTGTGTATGTGTGTATTTACATCAGCAGGGAAGAGCATATTTCTAGAAACATATTTTAATAAACATACGAGTTCTAAACCCCTTTCCTATCTTTGATTAAACAGAATCATAATAATGATAATAAAAATGATGATGCTGTTGATATTACAAGAGAAACCAATGATCGAAAAAGAATAATTGATAATACTTATTTGAGGATTTAAGTAAACAACTGGATGTCCGTGAGAAAGAAAAATATAGATTATTTTCACATTTTTCATACACAAGCAATGAATCTACTTGTTTCATATATAAATAAATACATAGATGAATAAGCAATTAGTTTTATAGTTAGGGTCAAAAATAAAAAATGTATGTACAGGTCACTGGAAGAGTAAAAAAAAAAAAAAAAAAAAAAAAAAAAAAAAAAAAATATATATATATATATATATATATATATATATATATATATATATTGTATGTATATTTGTCTATCAGTTCATTGAAAAATCATCATAAAAAAGAGTGGGTGATATACCACGATCCTTATTAATGTAAAAAATGATTAACCTTATGAATCTCTGTAATTTAGACCACGAGTATTAATGACACAAGAAAGAATAAAGAAAAAAAGGAAAAAAAACAAAACAATAATGACACAAGGAAAAGAAATTTTGTAAACATATAAGTATTAATAAATACAAAAATGACACAAGGATTTTTTTTTTGTAAACTTATAAGTATAGAGTTGGAATAAATGGCTAATTCCTTTTTTATCCCGCACGTGGTTCCCCGAAAACATAGGTGTTCGCTCATGGAACTAAGCAAGATATACATGTTAAGCAATTGAATGCTTTTCGCTTTAACTTTATGCAGTTCCCCCTGTTAGCTATTTGTAAAGCTTTTTACATTTGCTGAAGGAATTCTAAGGTCCCTTTTTACTAGGATACACATAATTATTTTTTCTGAGCGTGTGCTGGTTCTAGAAGAAAGAATTAAATAACCTAGCCATTCAGTTCAAGCTTACGTTCTTCTGAAGGATTTGAATGAAAAAAAAAAAAACTCAGGAAATGCGGTATTTCCCCAAATGACATAAATAAACCATTAAAACTATTATAAACGATTATTTTTGTCCACTTAAGTTTCCATGCAGGAGCTAAAAGAAGCGAGATTTTAGCTTATTCCTTGTTCGTCTGTCTTCAGTTGTAACTGCAACCCCCCCCCCCTTTGTCTAACCTGCTCTGTCTGTCATTGATGTGTCCAGTCAATATGTCAATTGCCTACTATTTGACCTACTTTACATTAGTTTTCTGTGTTATTTATAGAAGTTACGTTCAGGATGACGAGGTTTTCAGATCACAATGACGTGAAGCAGGTTTCGAAGCCAGAGGAACAGAAGCATCGTTGGAAAGTTATTGTATTGTAGGACTATGCTGGTGACTATTGAAAACTATTGATATATTCTTTGTTAATACTTCTGGATAGATACGAGCACAGATTGATAATTAAGATATCATCTATGCCCGACAAAATATGTAAATCATCAAGAGAATTTCGTCCTTTCTGTCGGCCATGTAAAGTTGTGGGGCCTGTCGAGCTTCTTTCCTGTTAGTTCAGGAGTGAGGCAAGGCTGTGTCCTTGCACCAACTCTTTTCAACACTTGCATGGACTGGATACTGGCAGAGCTACTGTTCAAGTCATTGTGGGGCAACGCTGGGCAATATCAAGGTTACAGACCTTGACTTTGCTGATGACGTTGCCATTCTATCTGAGTCTTTGGAAAACCTAGTGGCGGCTCTCGATGCATTTAGCAATGAAGCGAAGCCCCTGGGTCTAGAGGTCTCCTGGACCAAGACCAAGGTCCAGGAATTTGGGACTTGTTAGGAGAACCTGTTCAGTCGGTACGTGCTTGCGGCGAGGACATTGAGTCACAGAGAGCTTTACATACCTTGGTAGTGTAGTTCATAACTCTGGGCTGTCAGACCATGAAGTCAGCAGACGGATTGGCCTGGCAGCAGGTCATGAACTCTCTCAACAAGAGTATTTGGAGATGTCGGTACCTGTGCAGAAGGACCAAGCTACGGTTTTCAAGGCCCTGATAATGCCAGTTTTGCTATACGGTAGCGAAACCTGGACATTGTCCTGTGCCTTGGAGGCTCGTCTTGAATTTTTGTAATAGGTCCTTGCGCCAGATCATGGGTACTGTTGGCGGGACCATGTGTCCAACCAACGGTTGCACCGTGAGACTGGCACAAGCCCTGTTATCTGCACAATCCGTGATCGCCAACTCAGGCTATACGGCCACCTGGCTCGCTTTCCTCAGGATGATCCTGCCCATCAGGTCGTCTCTATTCGAGACAACCCTGGATGGAGGAGGCCTGTGGGACGACCGAGGAAGTCATGGCTTGGGCAGATCGACCAAACCTGCCGTGAAGAACTAGAGGATGGGCCGAGTCCCTGCCTGGCGTCTAGCCATGAGGGATCCTCGTAGGTGGAAGCGAAGGGTGGATGCGGCTATGCGCCCCCGTCGGCGTCAGCCCCCATGATGATGATGATGATGTCGGCCATGTTCGCAGTTTGTTTACAATTGTGACGTCATGAAACTGGAACAAGCTCTGGAAGAAGTTTGAAAATGTTTGAATTAGTTACGAAACCAAATCAAAATATTGGATCAAGAAGTTCTGTCAAAAGTGTGAATGAACAAGGATTTTTTTCATGAAACATTTTCGAAAAAGCATTGTTCTTCATACGGCTGTGTCCGCTAACCCTAATTTAACTTGTGCCGTTCACTGATGTGTCGTCGAGTTAATATGTCCATTGGCCTACATAAAGTACGTTCGGTAAGATGAGAAGTTTTCAAATCCTATAAAAGTGAAGCAAGTTTCGAAGCCAGAACAACAAAAACATTGTTGGAAGCTTATATTGAAAGACTGTGCTGGTGTAAGTTGGCAAAAATTACAGTCTTAACACCCACTGTGTGTGTGTGTGTGTGTGTGTATGTGTGTAAGTGTGTGTCCACCTCATATGGTTTCAGAACCGCTTTGAAATAGGTTTAGTTCGCTAACAGTCAGGGGCGGCGCTAGAAAACTTTTTTTTTAGGGGGTGTCGGGAGCAAGGTTACCGAGTAACATTTTAAAAATCAAATCCACACTTCATACTTTTTAATAATATCCTGTTTCGAAAGGGACCGAATTGGAATGAAAATGAAAACTTCGAGAGTTACAAACCATGATCGTTGATTTCTTAAATTATGCCGACCACCAAGTTGCCGAGTAAACTATTTTTTTTCCATTCTGCCGAGTGAAATGACGATTTGTGACCCTTGGGGGGGGGAGGGGATGTCGCACCCACACTCCCCGTGGCATCACGCCTGCTAACAGTATCTGGCGTGAAGCTTAGAAATAGGGGGAGGACAGGGGTTGGCCATCTAAGAAAAATTGAAATGGCGTTACTGAATCAAAGACAGATTGATATGATATAACACACACACACACACACACACACACACACATATAATGATTAATGGCTAACGGTTAAAACAAATAAATTTTAGACACCACGGTCATATATCACTAAATATCAATAAATTACTGTATATATACATACATATAATACACACATATATATATCTATATACAAACTTCAAATATCTACACATCAGTGTGAGTGTCTGTGTGTATGTCTGCGCGCGCACACCACCCACACGCACACACACGCACACATATACACATATATATGTATATATATATGAATATTCATTCATATATTCACCCATGTGCGTGTATGTTTAGATATATGTTTTGTATATATGTTTACGCTTAATAACATATATATTTAAAAAAATGAAATAGCATATATGTAAATATAGTCAGGGAAGTCCAGATATACAGTAGACAGAATGATTAAATGTAAAGGTTTGACCTCAACTCCACAGATGTGCGTGTAAATGGCACAGGTAATTGCAGGTGAGGCGCTAACGATTAAGAATATTCATCAGGTGAAAGTGGATACGGAACAGATGTTAATATACGAAAATGTCAATTTATTATCTACCCAATTTGAAAATTATCAGCGAATATTATAAACGGGATTTGAGGAATGCACATCCGAAATAAGTTTAGGCTCGTGGACTCGTTTTCGTTGGGTTGCCGTGACGTCACACCAACGGGCGCAAGCGGACTAATCAAGCCATGCAGGTGTGATTTTTCACAGGTGTCAGCGTCGTCATATACAGGTGTCACGTGAAGCAAAAGCCGACCACAGTCTTACCTCTCCTCATGACTTGGTTTAGGTCCGTCGCCACATTCAGGTCGGGATATCTCGCGTGGAAGCAAAATAACGAAAGAGAAAGATGAGAATATTAGACAGGAAGATGAGTCAATAGTGATGTGAAGAACTTTGTGATTGAAGAAT